GTAGTGGTTGATATATGGGTATAAGTCGAAAGTTAACACCCAATACAATGCAGTAGGCTAATTAGGCACAGTGGGCCCATTTTGCAGTTGATTAAGTCCAACTTGCTGACGTTAAATGGCAAAATAATGGTCGAAGATCAGAAGGTGAAAAGTTTGTGTTTATTTGGGTGAAATCCCTGCTGAAGATATTATACAGCAATACAGTGCTTGATTAAGTATGAGAAAGTGAAGCTAGGTTGCACTTTGTTAAATCCTCTATATTGGCCATTGAGCACCTCAACAAGTTTGGTCAAGGGATAAGAAAACGAAAGGCAATCCCTGTTGTGTTCAAGATACACCAAACCAATATTGGACATAGTAAAATGAATTGTAGCAAGTTTGTATGTACTTTGTGAAACCTCCATTGTGTCCAGGCACCCTCTTGATTTGACTTAATTTCCACAAAGGAGGCAATGAAAACAAATTAGGTAGATACAATACATGGTTGATTGGACTAGATAAAGATGTGATCAAGTCTCGGAGGTGAAAAAGAAAATTTGTTGGAAGTTGAGATCTTTTCTCCACAAAGTGGTTGCACTTGTGATTTCACTCCATTAAGTGGCCATTTGAAGATTCAATTTAGTGGAGGGATATTTTCTGTTTGATTTTCTACATGTGTTTATTTTATGGGCACAAAATAAGTACTTACTGTTCAACTATAATGTTTTATTAGTGAGAAAGGTTTGCAAAAATAAGCCATTGAATAATATATTTTTAGGCCTGGTTCTACCTTTAAATTAAAACGCTCTACAAAAAGGATGTATTATGACCGAAATTAATTTAAGGAAAAAAGTTGACGAGTTTACGTAAGCAATTTTGTATTCAGTGCCATGATTCTAGATCTTTATCACAGAAAGGTGAGTAAACAAACCTTAAAACACCACACAGAAACAAAGTCACTTTTGATGATCTTTTTGCATGATGCCAACAATTACAGTCCAGTGACAAGCATCAAAAACCATATGAGGGTCTCTGCTTATATATTTAGCATCAAGTGTGAATTGATTTATCTCATGTAAAGATTTTGACACTAAGTTTGGAGGTAGTGTTATCGCATTAAATACACAAAGATCAAGACAAATATAGAATCTGTTCGTGCCATGCTTGAGGGGTCACTTGGTACAAAACGACTTCGCACAGTAAGATGGCTCGTACTGTTTGTTTTCCCTCACTCATGCTTGTACACAGTATTTACTGGTTTAAATCTCAGGAAGTCAGGTAACATGGGAGTTTAACCAGATGACAGTAATTTGCTATTGTTCTTTTGTGAATGATTATTGCTTGGAATTAATACCAATTTCCTGGAGTGAAAATGACTGGCCATTTCTTTGCACAATGCAAATCAATATCTCAGATACCTAAGATTTGTAATTGACTAAATATGCACACGTCTGTGGGTCTTTATGTGTATATTGTTTCTTGTGTGAAGAAAAATGAGGAATTATAAGTGCTGTGACATAACTCCACTCAGATCAATTTATATGAAAATAAATTATTTAACCAGGAAGAGAAAAACCATGTAAAAACTTTTTTATGACAAAACAGAAAAAAATCTTTGTTAGGGTATAGTAGTACCAGTGAAAGAGTATTCCAGGCAATCTGCTTGCTTGTGACTTATCTCTGGTTATATAATACTAATATAATATAATACTATATAAAACTAATACTTTATTACTTCAGTTTTCATTCCATTGCTCTTTCAGGTAACATTAGAGAAACACTGAAGCAAAGGTGATCAGGAAAAAACATTTCCAAGTTGTTTTATGTCCCAAAGCTTGCCAAAAAGATGAAGTATCTCATATTTCATTAAAACATAGGCTTGCTTCCTGTTATTTAATTGTGCTCTTCTTGTCATTGCAGATGGCCGAGGGGCGGAAGGCGCAGGTGGTCCTACTGGACGAGAGAAGACTGGACATGATGGTACAGGTATGTTGAAAAATTGGAGAAGAAAAAAACTTTTTTGCCCCCCCCCCCACCCCCACCCCACCCCGCTATCCCCAGAGCCTCAAATGTTAGGCATACCATCTTCTTCATTTCCAAATCTTCATATCAGAAAGGTGTGTATCAGATAAATGGGCATGTATGTGGGAACAGCAAGAAGGTGGCAGGCATAAGATCTTGGTGATAAAGGTGAAATTGCTAAAATTCCCAGGAAAATGAATTATATTGCCATATCAAGGTCTAGTACATTGTATTATATGTCTTTATTAAATAGGTTATGATTTGTAAAAGTGATGCAGTATAGAGATTTTACAGTTAAGTTACAAAAAATTACAATTATTATACTCAAACCAGAAGTGTGAGCCTTGTCTCAGATAAGTAGTGATGTGACTGCTGTGACTGGTGGGGAAATGCACTGATTGCTCTTGTTGAGATTTTGTGATTAAGATGTCTCACCTAACACAACAAGCATTTTCCCTTGTCATTTCCATTATATTTGGTGAAAATTCTCTATTTGATTTGCCGTAAAGAGTTAACATATATCTTTGGCTTTGAATATGATTTTAGAAAATCTAGTGGTTATGAAATATGTAGAATAATTTTTCCAAGGAAATCTGAGATATTTACGCATACCTACCCAAAGTCAGTGAAGGTATGCAATTATAGATAATTGACTTAAGGAAATTTGGCATAATGTTTAAAAATATTTAATTTTTTTTTCTTCCAGCCCAAGCTGTATGCAGGGGATCTCCTGGACATAGTGGCCTCACATTTCAACCTCAAAGAAAAAGAATACTTTGGTCTTTGCTTCCTGGATGAAACGTAAGTTTTTTTTCTTTTTTCTTTTACTTAAAATAGAATTTTTTTGATGATCTCAAGATCTTCAGGTGATATGCTTGGGCTTCTGTGGATTTTATTGCCAAGAGACCACCATCAAAAAGTAAGCTGATGGCATGCAAGCTTGCATGCAGACACATGTTAGTGCACATAGAGTAGTTTTATAAAAAGACAAATCTGTATCAGATATTTTTTTATCATTCAGTAAACCTATTGATATAATTATGATCATTTGGTCAGAAAAGGGAAAACATCACAGGTAAAGGAAGTAAATAAAAAGAAAGGATGACATATCATGGTAGTATACTGTCGGGCGATTGGTATTAGGTTCATATCTGTGGATAATTAACCTTCTTCTAGAACAGCAGCTTGCCTTTTACTTTTGCAAACATTTGATTTAAAAGAAGTAAATGGAAGGGCAACCTTTTGAATTAGACATCTGTTGATTTCAATTTGAATTACCAGGAAGAGCTGCTTCAAAGCTTAGATCTTCACAAGATTTTTTATTCATCCCAGGATGTTTAAAACCAGGAAAACCTGGATGTTACATAATCCTCAGACAAAAATAAACTCCGTCCAGTTTTAGCAGAGACTGAACTCTTGGATTATTTTCCTGGAAACTCTTATCCCAGATGTGCATAGATTAGAACAAGACTTAACACTAATTATTTTCAAGGACAGGTGTAGAATTACATTCAGCCTTCTATGGTCAGCTCTTGTAATATGGACTAATGAATACTAATTGGGTCATTAGACAGGCTTCATTTTGAAGTAAACAGAAATGAATGACAACATGTGTACATGTGTTGTTTGGTCCATAAGAAGATTTGGTGCTATATTTGATGGGATGCACTCAACGTCCTTGAAATCAAAACTTAGTTTGCTGAAATACTTGGGGAGAAGCATGGCAAAATTTGCATGCATTTTGGACGAGAAAATTTAATCATTAAGTTCAGAAAAGAAAGATGGCAAATGTTAATAAAATCTTGAATGAAGCACAGCAAAAGAAGTTGCATTTGAGGGAACATGCAATCTAAGTAGAAAAATGATAAAGGCAAAGAGATGTGGGGGGTGGGGGGGGGGTGACATAGTTAATGAAGTATACAGATTTTCAAAAGCCTAAATTGAAAATTTTGAAAAACAGTTGCCATGAAGGTAAATCTAGAATTTCTCCCTTGTTAAACATGATATTTATGTTTCTATTTAAACCATGCAGTTAATCACACACATTGAACAATAATAGTAATGTTTAAAGTATTTAGCTATGTGTGATTCATTGGTCTTGTGATTGTCTCCCCTGTAGGCTGTATACCACTTGGATTGCAATAATTCATAGCTGGTAACATTTAATTAAACTCGCCCGTGAGTTTTCTGTACTCAAAGGGTACCTGGTATATTCTCCGTTGCCCCCTTTGTAATCTCAGGGCAGGTTCATATCAGGACCAACTTAATTATCGTCTAGGGCACAGTGTGTTATATAGGTTTGTAGCTATAAGGTAGGGCTCATTAGTATTTTAATTGACCTTGTACCTGATTTAACCTTGACCTTGTACCTGAATTAACCTTGACCTTGTACCTGATTTGACCTTTGTATTTTTCTCGCTCATATCATCAGATGAAGTGATTTTCAACATAATATTAAAAGAAATTGGAGATGATATGCTTTTTCTGAGTGGCAGTTTTCTCTATGAAATATTCTGTTTGGCAATTTCAATTAAGTTGTGTTCAGTTTAGGTTAGATCTGGTTTTGAATGCTGTTTCGTGGTTGACATTACAGCAGTAAAACTGTGAACATAGATTTTTGTGTTAAAAGGAGATTTTTTTCAGAAAAAGAAACTCCATTTTGGAATAGCTGGCCCAAAGGCCTGGCTTAAGCTTGAAAAAATATTTGGTAAACATGATATGCACTAAATTAATATTTCATTTGGCAGTCATGAAGGGAAGTATATGTGTACATTTAGTAAACTGAGCTTAATGGGCATATTAAGAGAGGTCTGCCTTGAAAGTAATTGTTAGATAGACTCCTCTCTTTTATGCGAGAGACCCATTGTCATTTCCCAAATTTTATTTCAAACTGTCATACGAAAGCATTCTTCCATGGAATAGACACCTGAGGGGAAACACACATGATAAGATCATTGAAATCAAAAGGAGATCGGCACAAGCAAAGGGAAAACTTAAACAAATTGTTAATAAAGAGACGGTCCAGGTCCTTGTTGCCATGGTTTCATTCAGAACGAAAAGGGCATCCATTGTTGAAGTATGTAGTCAAAGGAGAGGGCAGCGTTATGGGTGAACGTAAAGTGGATTTTAATGTTGTCTGATAGAAAAGATATAGAGACATTATAAAGTGAGGTGGACATTGAATTAGACAGGGACTCTTTGGCAGGGAGGAGAAACACCTCTGCGCTTGGACTGTGGTTAAAAACACGAAGAGAAAGCTAAGCAGAGGAATAGCTGTTGAAATAGTACAGAAACTGGTATTTTTGTATAATTGCTGGATTTCACTGAGTATATGAATTCACAAGGTAAATATACTGATTCGATTTACTTTGAATTGTAAGCCCTTTTGTCTTTTGTTTAGATAGTATGTCATGAATTCTGAATATTGAGGTAATTTTTCTCATTTCAGGCAGAATTCAATTTTTTTTACTCTTCAGGGACTATTTTAAGAGTGTTACTCAAGGTTCTGTTTGTCATTTGATTTTTAGTCAGATATTTTGCTTATCATACATGTTAGTCTTATACATGTTATTTGAAAAAAAATGATGCATCCTTGAATGGCTGTTCTAATGATATGGACGAATGTATGGCAATAACCACATGCCCAGTTCAGTTACTGACAAATAAGCCACAATTTATTCCCAAACTTTGTGGTATAAATGTGGTGATAGTGTTATGTCATCGTGGTTAACCTGTATTTGTATTCAGCTAAGTGCAGCATTGAATCATGTCCTGTGGGGTGAGCCGTCTCTTAGATCACCCGATTTCATCAGCTTTTTTTATCCCGGCTACACATGAGTAGAGGCATTTAAAAATGTGTACGTGCAGACATGCATTTGCATTCATGGTCACGTGCACTGCATATCGCATAGTGTCAGTACTCATGTTTGACTGTATTCCCCTCTTGGAAGTCCTATATGAAAATATATGATCATGAGTCATATATGAGAAGTGTGGGGTTTTACTTTGTGTAGGTGCGTGTGTGTCTATCAGTTCATGTTTAAGTCCGCAGATTGGCATTTCCTAATTCTTAATACTGAAGCCATGGTTTATAATAATTTCTGTTACTGGCATCAGAATCTGGACATGGAAAAAACTGAGTGCTCCATGCCGAAGTGTCAGTTTTCCATATTGAACTTTTTTAACCCCCCCCCCCCCTCACACACAAACACACACACACACACACACACACA